AGGGAGGAGAGGGAGAGAGGGGGAGAGAGAGAGGGGGAGAGAGAGGAGGGACAGATAGAGGAGAGAGAGGGGGAGGAGAGGAGAGAGAGAGACAGAGGAGAGGACAGAGAGTAGGGGGAGGACAGGGAGGAAAAGAGGGGGGTTATAAATGTAAACAATAAAGATAATGCTAATGTCAGATGATTGATATAATTGCAGTTCGGAGGGGAGAATGTGTCTGAATTCTGGACAACTAGTGTAGCTATGACATAGGAAATCCTGTTACATTGTCTCCATCCTTTACCGAGATAATCTTTACAACATATTCAGGAACATTCAAAGAAAAAAGTTACAAATAGTAACCAATGAGAAGTCAATTTCATTTTGGAGTGGTAGACAAATGACTGGAATGTGACGGGCGCTATGGACAGCAGAAATACTTTTACTGAATTTCTCTACAGATGATGATTTGCCGTCTAACATAGAAATGTGATTTCCCCTTTTATTGGTTTCCATTATTAAAGGGAAGGGTTACTGCACACTGATCGTTCTCCTGCTGATGGTGAGACAATATAGGAAGCAGTAACCCATGGCAATCAAAGTTCAGTTTCTTGGATATCAGAACCCAGAGGAGCGATGACTAGTTGGTACTTTTTGCAGATGGAGTGCTTGGACTGTAACCTTGCACACTGTGCTCCTGAACAATGCGGCGTGTAATGAGAAGCACAACTTACGGAGTTACCTGGGAACCTCATTAATATGATCCTTTATCATTTAATAACTGTTTTATAAAGAAGGCCGAGTTTATCAGTTTTCAGCGTCTCCCTTCTAAGTATTCCGCATTACATACAACACAACCTCAGCTATGGGACCGCAGCTGCCAGATCTACTCTTTCAGCTGATATTACAATCTTTCTATGCTGATCTAAATTGTTCCTTGTAATCTGCTTTGTATCATCAAATCTCTCTGTACTTGGTACAAGTGGGGGCTGGGTCTTCTAAGTGAAGATTATTACAATTAAGCGTAATACAACATAATTAAAAGGCAATTCAAGAGCAATCCAGACATCTGCTCTATTGTTTGTGGAGGGATTATGGAAAGGCCAGAGAAACGGTTGACAGCATCAGGAGAAGACATTACTATATCCAGAAGACCGAACGTGACTGAGTTGGATCTATAGGGGTTACTAGAACTAGAAAACCAGCAGTGAATTGATGAGACCCACAAGGGCAAATGGATCTAGAAGTCCAGTGGATGTTAAATGGATGTTATCTACGAGGGTTACGGAATTTAGAGGACGACCAGTGTTAACAGAATTCAGAGAAGGCCAGTAGTGAATGAGTGGGATCTCCAAGGATTACTGGGTCCAAGTGGATAAATGCAGCTTGCAGTGACTGAAGGGTTATTGGATCCAGAGGAAGACCAGTGAAGACTAAATGGGATCTTTTGGGGTCACTTAATCCAAAAGAAGACCATCACTAAGTGGGATCTACAAGTGTTACTAGATTTAGAGGAAGACCAGCAGGGACAGAGTAGCATCATCAGTGGTCAATGGATCCAGGAAAACCATCAGGCACTTAGAAGGCTCTACTGGTGTTACCTGATCTACAGTAAGACCAGCAGTGACTTGGTGTGAAATAGGTTACTATATCCAGAGGAAAACCATCTGTCATGAGTGGGATCAAAGAGTGCTACTGGATGAAGACAGGTAGAGTCTACAAGGGATATTGAATCTAGATGAAGACTAGAAGCTACTGAGTGATATGTACAAAGGGTTACTGGATTCAGAGAAAGACCAACAGTGACTGAGAAGGATCCACGCCTGTCACTGAGTCTAGGAGAACCTGTTTCCTCAGTCCTGATAGGCAAATATGAATACTGGACACTGCAAAGGTCCCATACATTTATTCACACGTAATTTGGTACAAGAACCTGACTCCCATGACTGATCAGTGTTTACTACAATACTGAATGTTTTAGTATGTGGAAAAGAGTGCATCTTCCCAACAGGAAGAGCATGGTCCTATAGTCCTTGTATGAGCTGGATGTCCATAGTTGTTCACTAAAATTCACCCCACTAGCTGTTGTCAGTGGCCATCTGTGGCTGGATTGGTTGGATGTAATAATAAAATAAAAAGGTTATAGTTCACCTTCAGAGTGTGAGCTCTGCTGAGCAGAATCCTCTCCATCTTGTAGCATGGAGGATGGAATGTCTGTGAGAATGACATTTTCTCATAATCTGTATTTGTAACAAAGTAGGTAAGGTTGAATAAAGACATGAGG